CATGGTGGGGAAGGCAGGTAGGCAGAAGCGTGTGAGGTGGCTGGTCACATTGTGTCAGGAAACAGAGAGAAAGAAATGCTGGTGCTTAGCTCCTTCTTGTTTTTCAGTTCATGGGATGGTGCTGCCCACAGTCAGGGTGGATCTTTCCTCCTGACCTAACCCTCTCTGGGAACTCCATCATAGACAGGTGCCTCTCTCAGGTTATTACAAATCCAGTCAGGTTGACAGAGAAGACGAGCCAGTGTAATAGCCCATTTCTCAGGTTAGTGGTCTCCCGTGACACCAGGCTGAACATACTTGGTCTGGGTGGCTCTGATGATGGGCCTTCAGAGAAGGCCACAGCCCAGCTCTTGACCTCTTCACCACAGAGAAAGTCAAAGTGGGGGTAATTTTGTTTCTCTGTGCTTTCTCAGATATGTTCTAGATGGATTCTGCTGTGGAGAATACGCATTTTCCCCATAGTTATGCTTGTATTGTCAATGCACTGTATAATTTTTTTCTATGAATGAGACTCATAATTTGTGCATTTTTGTGGGTTTCAACCATTTGCTACAGCTGCAGTCCTGATAAGAGACTCAATTATAAGCATAATATTAGTCTTTAAGATTCACTGATGTCTCATGGGAGGCATAGAAATGCATCTTATTTGCAGACAATTGTGCTTAAGCAGTGTAGTGCTATGGTTATGCCTCCTCCTTTTCTGTGGAATACCATGGGCATTAGCTTGAGTGCCTGTCCTTCTCTCAGATTCCCAGCCTTGACTTTGTCCTTTAGCTGTTTCCCTAACTCCTCCCTGTACAGGTCTCCTGTTCATGCCCTGGAAGGCCACACAGCTTCCTTGTTTCCTTTTTTCTAGTGGCCACAGAGGACTGGTAGCAAGTCGTTTATTTTTGATAGGCAGCAAAAACCATAGAACTTGACACAGTGTAAGAGTAATTTTTGTTAGGGATGTAGCTGAATGGGTAGGTAAAGTGCTCACCTAACATGCACAAAGCCCTGGATTCAGTCTCCAGCATAAACTGGTGTATGGAACAAGCCTGTACTTCCAGCACTAGAGAGGTAGAGGCAGGAGGATCAGGAGTTTAAAGTCCTCTTTGGCTACATGAGTTTGAGGCTAGCTAGGACTACATGAAAGAAACCAAACAAACACAGAGAGAGTGATTGCAAAGGTTTGGGGATGGTGCATTCTTGATATTGAAAACAAACTTGAGAAGAAAAACTCATAATCTGGAGAGTCTTGTGTCTTCTTCCAGCTGGTCATTGTCTGGACTTGGGAACTTGTAAGGATGAGTTTATTTGGCCATTTACATAAGAAAACAGTGGTCCTTATGCTACTCCTAGCAGGATGGAGCAGTTAGAAGGTCAGTGCAAATAGGTGCACATTCAGTGCTGATTATACCTCACAACACACCTCCTTAATATGCAATAAGTTTCATGTTTCATGAGGAAATTGCTGTGCGCTTATCATCTGGGACCCCTGCATTTGTCAACATATACTGTCAAAACCAGTATTACACAAGAAGAGCTGGCACATGGCAGATGGTTAAGATGAAGGATGTAAAAACTTGTTGGCATATAATAAGGTGACATGTAAAACCTGCTTGTTACAAATTTAAATAAAAAATATTATCAAAATAAGAAGAAAGAAAGAAACTTGTTGGGTTTGTTGGGTTACAGGGCTTTTGCTGCTAACTCTGACATGAAGCCTGGGTGCACTGAATCTTCCATTTTCCGTGACATCATCATTTGCAGTCACACTGCTCACAGAATGCCTCAGGAGTTTCTCCAAGGAAGCCACCTAACAGAAGAGGGCTCTGCATAGCCCAGAACACTCAGAGACCCATGGCAGATGGATGGACTGTGCAAACTGTTTCTGCGGGACTCTGTCTTGCCAGGGGGAGTTGCTGGGATGTGGAGAGGATGAAGTGTGGCAACCATTTGCCATCTATTCATTTGGGGGCATCTGCAGCTCCTTTGGCTGGTACTTCAGTGGAATGGGATGCCCTCTTTACAGGATGGAATAGCTGTTGGTTGTTAAATTCATAGTTATTTTAAGGGTTTGAGGAGAAGCCTTTTGGTACGTAATATCCTGCCCTGGGTTCCCAGGTGTTTACACTCATCCACTTTTGCAGATGAACATGTATCACATGTATCTACAAAGTTATAGTGGACTCCTTTTTTTTTTTTAATTTTTTTTTTTTTAAAACAAAGTCTCAAGTAGTTCTGGCTAATCTCAGACTCACTCTGTAGCTGAAGGTGACCTTGACCTTCAGATCTGGCAGTCTTCCCTCCCAAGTGAGCACACCACCATGCCAAGGTTTATGCAGTGGTAGGGATCAAACCCAGGGCTTCATGCATGCCAGGCAAGTACTGTTCCAATTGAGTTCCATCCCCAGGCCTGAACTCTTACAGTTAAGGCCTGTGTAATAGGTAAATGGACATACCATTTGAGTCTCTTAAAGTGTTACTAACCCTGGACCCACAGGGCTACTTTGAGAAGAGATTCACACAGATTCGGGAAGCTACTGTAAAGAATAAAAGAGGAGAAAGTAGAGGGCACCATGGGAACATGACACAGGGGTGCACAATGAGAAGAGAGTGGCCTGGTGTGTGGTCAGCTCTGCCCAGCAGTTGGTATTCCAATTAAAGGGAGCAGCACAGAAACAGCCCAGAGTGTGGGGGTGGTAGAAGACTCGAAGGTACTTGGTACAGTGGGATTGAGACATAGAAAATGGGGCTGAAGAGAAGACAGAGATGGAAGAGAGCCTCACACAGAGGGGAACATAGAGGGAGGGAAGCGAAGAGAGAATGCTCAACAATACATGGAGTCTCATTACTTGTCCAGTGCTGTTTACCCAGCCAAGAAGATTTTAAAATGGGACTCAGAGCCCCTAATTTCTGTAGCTTCATGCTTTGTCTTTGTGGCCCATGTCTTGTCCTCAGTAGTCCTGGAGGTAATGCAAATACTTAGTTAGCTTTTAGCAGGTCTGTTAGAGCTCGCTGAGCCTCAGCCCATCCCATGTATCTTGGTGAAATGCTGGTTGGCTTAGTTTGGCTATGGTGGATGGGGCCACTTGTGGCCAGACTGTTGGCTGTGCATGGGGTCTTGGCAATTTCCCACTTTGTATCATATATGTTAGGTACATTCTGGTCCTTCAGTGTGTGCCAGGACATGAAAATGTAAGGAAGTCATGTAAATAGGAAGATGAGAGTTTCAGAGAAGTTGTTAGGGTAGCCCTTGGCATTTCATACATATTTTTGTAACATTTTTGTTAGGAATAAATGTTTCTGTTCTCAGTGGCAGTGAATCTTATTCAGATTTTCCATTCCCGGGTCAGTTTGGAGAATTTGTATTTTACTAGGACATTATGGGTTTTCGATTTTGTTGTCATGTGGTCACTTCAGGTATTCTTTTATGCTTAATTAACATAATAATGCTCTGAATATGTATGTGCCCTTTGTGTTTTCTCGTTTTAAAAACCTGTGTGGTGTTCTGTCTCTGTTGAGAAGAAGCACATTTTTGTTTTTAAGTAGCTTTGATTTGCTTATCCTGTCTATTTTATTCCATCAATTTTGGGCTCTTCTGGTAAATTTTATTGTTTTTGAAACTGGCCAGAGTAATGAAACCCAGTTCTTTGTTTATGACTTTATAAGTTAGAGTAGGAGTCTCTGCACAGAAGATCTATAAGTTAATACTAGGAACCTAGAGTTTCCTGGTATTACCTGTTAGGGATTCATGTAGCTCTGTACCAAACATGCATGTATACATGAGTGTCTGCCCCCATGAGTGCTCTTGCAGAGGCCAGAGGAATATACAGTGTATTTCCTCTAATGCCCTCCTCATTTTTGGAGACCTCTCTCTAAACATGGAGCTTGCCATACTGACTGGACTGACTGGCCAATCAACTCTGTTTACATTTGCCAGTGTTCAAGCTGTAGACACTTACAGCCATGCCTGCTTTTACATGGATTCTTATGATATCAACCCAGGTCCTCATGCTTTCATAGCAAACGCTTAACACTAAGGCATCTCCCTAGACCCCAACTATTGTTCCTCTTAAGTTTAAAATTGTATTGTTTGTAAAAAGCAGCCATCTAAAGAACTGATGGGTTCTGTAGAAACCAGCTGGCTGAATCAAATGCATTTCAGTAGAAGAGGGGTGAAATCATTTGCCTTGTTTTTTTTTTTTTTTTTTTTTTTTTTTTTTTTTTGCCTCTGTTGTCACTCTCTTGATTTTCAGGGACTGGTTGCATAACAGTCTAAATTGTATAGGAAATGACAGCAATCCAAGCAGTCTACAATCCTTTTAATGATAGCAATGCTAGGTAGATTGAGAAGAGGCAGTTGTTCCTCTGTCTTTCTGAGAACACAGGTCAGTATATCCGGACATCTGCTTGTATTTTCTCCCCTTGGTTGTCATATCCTAACACCCCTTATTTCCTCAGTTACATAATGACTCTGGGGTAAATAACATAAGGCCATACCCAGACTGATAGCTTTTTTTAGTATTGGGGACAAAGCAAAGCAGCTGCCACCCTAGGAAAATATCTGCACTTCTAAAGGATGCCTATCTATTCATTGTGGCCACCAGGAGCTTTCCAGAAAGTTCTCACACTGTTTAGCTAATTGGATTTTAATCTTGTCCAACTGAACTGTAGTTGGATATTATGCTTATGGGAAGGAGAGGAGCCATTTCTCTCTTGGGTCCAAGTCATCCATCCTGTCCTGAGCTGGGAAAGTATGCCTTGCTAGCAATGTTTGTGTATGGTTAGAGATAAAGAAGATAGACAGAAAAGAGTAGATCCAATCACATTTCTACCCGTATGTCCCACCTGTTACAGTGTTTGGCATCTAGTGCCTGGGGTAAATCTTGCATCTTGGGGCAGGTTTTTCTAAGAGTGATGGTTTTGGTTTTCTGTGAGAGTCAGTCTTGCACAACAGAACAAGCAGGCAAACCTAAGCCATGTGACAGTTGACTGTTTTCTGTCTTTTAATTCAGGTGAAGGAAATGCTTATGGACAGGTGTCTTGAAGAGTGCTGCTGAAAAGAACAGAAGCAAGGACAGTGTCACTGTGACTGCTGGCAAGCACCTCCACCATGGCTTTGGAGAAACTGTGCTTTGAGGATGTTGTTTGCTGTGGGTGAAAGAGAAACTCCAGGCAACCAACCTTTCTGTCTGTTTGTGATAGTATTGTGTGATGACCACAGAGGTGGGTTCACACCATTGTTGCTGATGACTGCTTCTTGCCTCTGTGGACATGAGTGACCCAAGGCCATCACAGGTAGAGAAGCACAAGCTCGGCAGAGCTGCCTCCAAATTCAAGGACCCTTCCAGAACCATGCAGTCTGATGATTATTTTGCTCGGAAATTTAAAGCCATCAATGGCAGCATGGGACCTGCCACTTTGAACACCTCTAGTCCAAATGAGGGCAGTGGAGGTGGTGGCGGGCCAGCCAACGGCACCCCAGCAGTGCCCAAGATGGGAGTGAGGGCCAGAGTGTCCGAGTGGCCTCCGAAAAAGGACTGCACCAAGGACCTGGCTTGCAAGATGCTGTGGGAGAGCCGTTCTCAGTCCAGTTATGAGAGTGTCACCTCCATTATCCAAAATGGCCAAAATGACCAGGGTGACAGGCAGCAAGAGGAACAGCTGGACTTGGATTTTGTGGAGGCAAAGTACACCATTGGAGACATCTTTGTCCATTCTCCTCAGAGAGGACTCCACCCCATACGACAAAGGAGCAACAGTGACGTTACCATTAGTGACATCGATACTGAGGATGTCCTGGACCAACATGCAGTCAACCCCAACACTGGAGCTGCCCTGCACAGGGAATATGGGAGCACTTCATCTATTGATAGGCAGGGTCTATCTGGAGAGAATGTTTTTGCCATGCTCCGAGGATACCGAGTGGAGAATTACGATCCCAAGGTGACCAGCTCCTTTGGGTTTCCAGATTTCTTCCCCTGTAATACTGCCATCTCCCCCAGCCTTCATGCTGCAGCCCAGATTTCTAGAGGAGAGTTTGTCCGCATCTCAGGGTTGGACTACATGGATGGAGGGCTGCTGATGGGGAGGGACAGAGACAAGCCCTTCAAGCGCAGGTTAAAATCAGAGTCAGTGGAAACATCACTCTTCCGAAAACTTCGGACAGTAAAAAGTGAGCATGAGACCTTCAAGTTCACTTCTGACCTAGAGGAGGGTCGCCTGGACCGGGGCATACGCCCATGGAGTTGCCAGAGGTGTTTTGCCCATTATGATGTGCAGAGTATCCTCTTCAACATCAACGAAGCCATGGCCACGAGGGCTAGCGTGGGGAAGAGAAAGAACATCACCACTGGGGCCTCGGCTGCATCACAGACTCCAGTTCCTGTAGGCCCAGCTGGAGGCTGCGAGTCCCCACTGGGCAGCAAGGAGGACCTCAACTCCAAAGAGAACCCTGATGCTGATGAGGGTGATGGAAAGAGCAATGACTTGGTCCTCAGCTGCCCTTACTTCCGAAATGAGACTGGTGGGGAGGGCGACAGGCGCATAGCACTCTCTCGGGCCAACTCAGCCTCATTCAGCTCTGGGGAAAGCTGTTCCTTTGAGTCATCCCTCAGCTCACACTGTACCAATGCCGGTGTCTCTGTCTTGGAGGTGCCTCGAGAAAACCAGCCCATCCACAGGGAGAAGGTCAAGCGCTACATCATAGAGCACGTTGACCTTGGGGCCTACTACTACCGCAAGTTCTTCTATGGCAAAGGTAAGCACCCGGCTACCTCCACATGCTCCAGAACTCTCACTTCACATTGCTGTGCTTCTTACATTCCTTCCTGGCCGGGGGGTGGGGTGGGGGGGTGGGGCACATAAATAGCATTCACTCAGAAACCCCTCCCCCATGTCCCAGGGACAAAGCAAGGTATGGTTCTACCAGCATTCACTCTGGGGAACCAATAGGTCTATTAGGCTTACTTACAGAGTGTAGGTAAAGGGTTGTGAACAGGTGTATGGGTGGCCTTACAGCAGACACAAGAAAAGGTCTACATCCAGCATGGCTGACTCCCCAATGGCTGCATAGATGGGATCCCTCTTCCCTAGTTCTTGCCCTATCTACTTTAGCCCCTCTCTGAGACCACATGCAGTTAGAGCAGAATTAACACACAGCTGACTGGAAGGAATGACTGGGTATTCAAGTAAGGGGCCTACCACCCTCCCTGCCATTCCTTTTACAAGGCATCACCAGTCAAAAAGCCCAGCTGTGATGCTCAGATCAGGCACCACTGATCTGATGAAGATGGCAACAGTTTAGCTCAGAGGATAGTCTTGCAAAACATACTGTCCAAACTATCCATCACCTGAGGGAACAGCTTAAGAGGAGAAAGGATTTCTTGTGACGCGGTTTCAGAGTCCAGTCCATAGTCAAGTGCCCTCCTATTCTCAGGGTGGACACGGGAGCATGTTGTGCAGAGAATTTCTTTATTTCACAGTGGATAGGGAGGGAGGAGAGGAGGGAAGGTGGGAGAGAGGATGAGAGGGAGGGAGAGCGGGATTGGGGATCAGGAATCACTTTCAGTGACATAACCCCAGTGACCTGCTCTTTCTAGGTAAGTTCAACCTCCTCAAGTTTCTAGGGCCCTCCAAAATAGTGCCACCAGCTACAGAAATGTGGGAGACATATGAGGATTATGTCTTCAGAGCCTGCCATGAGCTTTACTGCATTAGAGCAACTTCCTCAGGGTCCCAGAGTTATGGCCCATGGGGCTTGGGTTGCCTGGTCAGTGATTTCCCACTGTAACCTGTTAGGAGCCCCAGGTCTGGCCATGCTGATTCGTAATCCCTGCCAAGGGCATGCCTTCTCCTCCTCTGACATCAGGCTTCATCTAGATTTTACCCATCTTACTAAACATCCTGTGATTATATCTGCCCTGTGTTGTTCTTCTACATAGCTCCTAACACTGTGTGGACTGGGTAATTATGTGGAGTTTTCTCGCTATTCTTTGCTCTTACCTTGTTGATGCTTAGATTGAATATATCAAAGCCTGTTGAAAGAAATTTATGGAATATCCGGATATGCATGATCCTGACAATGGGATTGCATGGGCAGAGATAAAATCTCCTTCAGGTGTTACTGCAAAAGTCTTTAATATAATATGAAATAAGTTATTTGCACTCATTTGTCTGAGCTGTCTTCTCCCCAGATTTTAGTTACCAGTGCACTCCTTTCCCTACTCTCCACTCTTACTGCTTTGAGTTCAGTCCGTGTTTGTCACATTAAAGCCCAGGAACCGCTGAACTGTGTTTCAGGCTGTGACCTCACTGCTGTGCCCATCCCTGGGTACCAGTTACTAGACATGTGGAGGACTGGCCTCCAGAAAGAAGTCATTTGCTTTTGGCTTTCAAAAAGGGACCGCAGAGGAGCAGGCTTCCTCACCAAGGCTTGTTACAGCTGAAAGCAGACACATGAAATCAATCTCTATTTGTCACACTCCAAAGTCCATAAGTAGCTCAGCACCTGGGCAGCCGAGTGCTGGAGTGTAGGGATCAGGATATAAGGGTTTCTATGGTCCTGTTGTGCAAATGCTTACAGCTTCCCACTCAAACTGTCTCACATCCAAAGTGTGTGAGAGAGGAGCCAAAGTGACTGCCCTATACCATTGCCACCACTGGACTTAGTAGTGGTCTCATAGTCTGTCCCAGGAGGTGGTTTCTATCTAGTCTGGTCTGTGTTCATCTGTTACTTGTTTTGAAGAACTCTCTGCAGTGACTTATTTCCTCTGCCCTTTCTGATTGCTGGCAAAGACACTGGAGAGCATTAGAAGCAACACTGTCAGACCATTTAGGTCAGTACACTAAATAAGTTACTAAGTTCTCAGAAATAATTGCTGTGTACACACCCCGGAGTGAATGTGAGGGGGTACAGCTGTGCTGGCTGGCAGTGCCAGGGTCTGGGATTCATCTCTGATTGGGGGATTAGCCAAGAACCTAGGGAGTAGCTGGAAAACAGTTCTAGATTGTTCTGTAAAGCCAGGAGAATGAGGGGATGTGTAGCAGGCCCTGAGGTCCCCCACTTGGGCGAGTGGCCTCCAGGGAAAGAAGTAAGGCTTCAGTGCAAAAGAGACTCCTGCTTCCTCAGGGCTTAGCTCTTTACCCGTGGCCTAGTATGACTTGAGATAAAATTGGCAGCAGCAGTGTCTACATGGAGTCATTAGGGACCAGCCATTGGTGGCCAGAGTCCTGAGGGTTCAGAATAGCCTAACCCCATAGCCTTAGTTGCTCGACAAGACAGAGCAGGGTATTCCTACAGGCTCGCCAGCAATTGGATGTTATTGCTTAAAAGCAGACCCATCAGGACAAGCTCTAAAGCTGGGCTCTGCAGATCGCTGCCTGCCTTTCCCCTTCTCCCTTTCAAAGCTCTTCTCTGTGGCTCTCAAGGGACCTGCTGATAACCTCTAAAGCACCTTTTATCTTCTTCATTGGAAACTCCTGGTCCTGTGGGTTGTCTGATGTGTAGGCTTTGTAATTACTGGGCATGGTTGTGCAGAGGTGACTTCTGGTGCCAGGATATGTCCCATGACAGTCACTAAACGATGATTCAGTGACTTTGTGAACCCATCAACTGGGGAGTGGCTGGCCACCTTAAACAGAGCCAGCAGCATGACCTGTCCAAACAAATTCTCCTGCGTCCTCAGAGAGTTTGAAAGGAAATAGGCATGATAGTAAGCATGGCCAACAGCAAGAAAAGGACATCCCTCACTCTGTCTGGTGATGACCAGGAAGAAAAGTTGGACCCTTGGCTCCACATTGCCACTGTCCCTCTCTGGGGCTTCTCCATGGCAGCACAGGCCACTTGAAAGAGTCCTGCAAGCATCCCAGATTCAGCTCGTGACTCTTTGTGAACTCTTGTGCAGCAGCAGCTTCAGGGTGTGTTTCAGATGTGATGAAGCTGACAACCATGAGTTCATGCTTGCCCTCTTTCTCCCTTAGCTTCTTTTCCTGTTGTTGTGATGAGCTGTTCTGACAGATGCAACGTAAAGGAAAAGGGCTTTATTTTAACTCACAGTCAAGGTAGAATCCATAGAAATGGGGAGTCTAGGCAGCAGGAGCTTGAAGCAGCTGGTCAACATCATATGCACCATCAGGAAACAGAGAGGGAGGAATGCAAGCTGCCTGGGGAATGGACCCCTCACAATGAAGATGGATCTTCCTGTATCCGTTAACGTGGTGGAGAGATGGTCCCCCACAGGCATGCCTAAAGGCCCATCTTTCCAAGAGTCTGGATTTTGTTAGGCTGACAAGACTAACCTTGATGCTCTCGTTCCCTCGCTGTCTCCTTTCCTCCCTCCCTTTTCCCTTCTGTCCTTTGGTTCTCCCCCTTTCTTCCTTCTTCCCTCCCTACTTTATAAACTGGCACCTGATAGGACATATTTGATTCCTCCTTGTCGTATCAGCTTCCTTCAGGGGTGCAGACATCTTGAAAGGAGCAGGAGCAGAAGGGTTTCAGAGTGCCATGAGGTCCCAGTCACGTTGGCAGTGGTGCTACCCAAGTGACGCTGCACCCGGGGTGCCCGCACATCCTCTCTGTGTCACTTCTAACCGCTGCTCCACCCAGCTCTTTGTAGATGCTCCCTTTTCTCCAGTGCCGACCTTCCTCAGCAGCACTCAGAGTGAAGGCTGTGTGCGTAAGTGAGGCCAAGAAGAGTTTATTCTGGGCTGGAGCAGGGCTGCTTGTACAACACTTGCCTGCCATGCACACGGCCCTGAGTTCACCAGCCAGCGCTGACAACAGTGAGAACAGAGACAGAAAAACCTACTAGCCCTCTCCTGTCACAACACCGTTTTACTATTTCGTGGGTGGGAGACTGGGGAACTGTCCTTTGCCATAGGCTGCAGTGCCCATCCATTGTAACAATGGCTTGAAAGTTCACACTAGTGAGGGACGCTCGCTCGTGGATTCCTACCCCAAGTAGCTCTATCTTTAAAATGAAGTCCTACAAAGGGCATAGGCCAGTGCCTGCCACACAGCATGGGCCCCCATGCATTTCTTACATAAGTGTGTGAGAACTTTCTCTCTTGAAAGAAGCCATTGTCCCTGCCACAGACAGGCACAGCATTGAAGGGCAGACCTTTGTTTTGGTGGTTAAAAGATGAGGAGAGAAGGAGAAGGGAGCTGGGATGGGGTTAGGGGTGTGTCTGGTAAAGCCCACCACCTGGTTCTAGACACACTTATTCCTTGTCACTAATGCAGGGTCATGGCTTGGGGGAAGGGGGTGTCTTATGAATCCCCTGAACTCACTGCTGAATGATTCATGACTGTTTCCTTTGAATTTCATGCCCCCTGCCTTTTCTTCCCATTTTATTTGGTCGATGACTAAAATAATAGGGAGTTGGACACTTAGATTCACATGGATAAACAGAGTGAGACCTAACAATAGTACTTCCTAAGACACATGTGCCTCCCTGAGGACACCATTGATAGACCCTGCATAGCCTCTTTCTCTGCCTCATCACCACCACAAACAGAGGCCCCATTGAGTCCAGGAGCTCCTAGCAGGAAGAACTACCCAGTAGTACTTGGGACTCTGGCACCAAGGGACATTGCCCCACACTTGCTTTCCTGCTGTGGGCAGTGAGAACACAGGGAGTTCTCCATGGAAGAACTTACAAAGGCCTGTTGACACTGGACCTCAGCGGGTCTTGGGTCAGCCATGGAGAAACAGGAAGGAGAATGCTGCTATTTCTGTTAGGCTTGCTTGATGGTCAAAGTGGAGAGCTCCAGGATACTTGTAAAGCCTCCTTTGGGTATGCTCAGATCAAGCTTAATGCCCCCTCCTATCAGAGACTGCACAGAATCTGGACAGCTATTGCCTCACTGGTAGCCTGTTACTTATGCTCAGAGATGTCTTTCTCCTCCTGAGAATATGTTGCTAAAAGCTATAGTGAGTAAAGGCAGCCTGGGGTGGCTCCCTCAGTTCCTAGTCTTTGAGGTTGGGCGCTGATTCTTATGACATACTGTTGTATGTCGTTTGTTGGTGGTACTGTTGTCCATCTCTAGGCTGTGCTGGCTCCCCCAGGTGACTTGCTTGTTATTGGGGTTTTTTGTTTTTGTTTTTTTAGCATATGTGTGTTTGTATGTGCATGGTTGTACATCTGTGCTTGTGTATGTGTGCACATGTATGCCCATGCATTTGGAGGCCAGAGGTTGACATCAGGATTCTTTCTGGACTCTTCACCCTTTTTTTAGAGACAGGGTCTCCCAGTTGAAATAAGTGCTTACTGATGTCATTGGTCTGGCTAGCCAGCTTGATGTAAACACTCACATACATGCACGCATACCCATCTATCTCCCTTAATGCATATGGTAAGCATTTTATCCACTGAGCCATCTCCCCAGCCCATGGCTTAGTTTTTACTTCTTACGTGATGTCAACCCCTGAAGCTGTTCATGGAAGTGGCTGTTGCTAGGCTGTTTATAGTATAACCTTTGCAGCAGCTCATTTCCTACAGCAAGTCACTCAGACCCTCACCTTCAGCCCCATCTGAAACATGGATTCTCATTGGGTTTGTATGAAGCAAAGTGTAGTATTTTATAAACATTTTATTTCTAGTGCTGTGGGTTTTCTGCTTTGGTTAAGTTTTGGTCCAAGGCATATGGCAGCACTGATACCTTGGTTTTCCTGCATGGAAACAGGTCTCCAATCAGGAAGCCTTTGCAGGAGCATGGCTGGGCGTGACTTCACAGTGATCTTCACTCACCCATTTGCCCCACTTTTATTGTATTTTGTCCCCAGCTCCTAGAGCACAGTGATGGACAGTGTAGACACACAGTTGTGTAGAGGGAAAGGTAATGCGCAGTCCATCTCAGGAGTTCAGAGAGCCACCAGCTGTGACATGCCACCCCAGTAAGCAGTATGCAAAAGCAGTGACCAACTAGTTGTTGTAAGGCAGAGAACTGGTAAGCTACATTATAGGAGGCAGTGGTCACAGGCCTCTCCTCTGCATGAGTTGAGGCAGAGGCCTGGGGGACATGGGTCCTGAGGCTGTGGCATCTATGACCTTGCAGTGTGCTTTACTATTGGACACCACAACCTGGCAGAGCTGTTCCCATCTATCTCTTCAGCCCGAGCCTAAGTGTGCAGACTGCCTGTCTTTCCTAGTCATCACATTGGTCACGTACCAGTTAATCTCCATCTAAGACACTGCAGACTCTAGAAACAGCCTTGAGCCAGGGGCCAAGGGCACCCCGGTCCTTTTTCTTCATTGGAGTTTGAACTCCCTCTCCCTCCCCCTGCCCTGCTTCTTGTTGAAATATCCAGGATACATCACCAAGATGCTACAATTCTCATTTCCCACACTGCGATCTTGTTAACTAATTTTCTTTTATCAAGTTCTGTTATATTCGAGTGATGTGTGGATTTTCATTCAACTTATCAACAGCTTTCTCGCAGCGTCCATCGTGCCAGGGAAGGATTTCATCTGATTCACTCTTGAAACAATTTTATGGAAATCATCAGCTCATTGGTTCAGAAATAAGGCCAGGCTGTGGGGGGGGGGGGAGGGGGCGAGGGTCTGAATGCACTCAGCTAAGAGGGGCTTACTCACAAGCCTCTGTCCAGAGTGTCAGGCCTTCTTGGTACGAAATTCTCAGGTCTTTCCTGAAAGGGATGCAGGATGCCCTTTGAAAGTGTTGCCTTTGTTTCCTCTGGGGAAGTGGAGGAGGGGGCATAGACTCTGTTTACATCTTCATGGTCTGTGGGCATGCTCAATGTAAGAGCTAGACAGCATGTTCTCAAATCTAGGGGGAAATGTTAATTCTTTAGAAATACATGCAGGCATCCTGCAGACTCCTTGCTGAAACCAAAGGCACTGTGAGGTTCCTAGCAAAGACTGGTAGGGCATAACTGCCATGTGATCTGCAGGCACAGGCATGTTGTCTGTGGACCATGGGAATCTCACCTGCATGTGCATACAGAAATACAGACATGGAGAAAGTCAGAGCCAGAAATGGAAGCAAGACGTGGCTGCAACATAGGTCAGAAAGAGCTGTAAGGAGGGATATCTCCTTTATTCTCTTGTTCCGTAGTTTGTGTCCTTGTCATCCTTAGTGAAAGAACTAATAAATAGTGCTTCAGTTTTCCAAATTATGGCTTCTGATTCAGTGGAGTATTATATGCCACTGTCCTCTTTAAAAAACTGTAAATACAACTGAATCCTTCCAGGCAATCACCTAAAAACATACCAATGGAAAACTCAGGTCTAAAATCTTCAGTAGTCTATTAGAAAACACAGTTAGAAATTTTAGATTTTGAAATACAAATATTTGAAAGATATATGTGGCATATGTACATGTGTATGTATATATACATATACACCCCTGGGGACAGGGCATGGATTCTAAAATACCATGAACCTGTGATCAAATCTGAAGAAAGACCAGTGACCACCACAGAGAGCTACAGAGTATTGCCAACAACAGTAAAGGTCCAAATACGTGGAAGGGCTTGGAAAGTTCTGTACTGATGAGGTGTTGGCTATAAGGTGTAGTGCCCTGGGCCCCTTTCCACTAATGCAGCATCAGGAATAACAAAACACACTGAAATAAACAGATACCCTCCTATTGCTGGTTTTAAACTACTGATTCAAGTCACAAAAGCTGCTTGGCTTCTTCAGCCCTGTGTTGGTGACCATTATCTTGGCTGGTATCAGCACAGACTATACCCACCACATAGGCTTTCTCCATTTTCAGTCCCCAAAGTAGCCTCCTTGCTGCTTTAGGCTCTGCCTGGTTCCAGAAGACAAAATACCTGTGTTACACTGGTCTAGTCCAATCAATATAACATGAACAGCTTGTATTTCAGAACCAATTTAGGCAGTGTGGACTGGAGTGGAGTAGGAAATTGCCCCTTTGGTGACTTCAGATCTATCCAGAAGTTCTCAGAGTATAAAACCATGGCTTGCAGAGCCTAGCAGACTCTGCAGGCTTCTAAAACTCAAAACCTGAGAGTTGGGTCAGTCAGATGAATGGAAACCTAGAAGGTGACATTCCGAGGGGATAAACGTGGTGTTTTGCATAAGGATGTGTGTGTGTGTGTGGGGGGGTCAGTATTTAAGGATACAACCCTTGGAGAACTGACCAGGCCATGTTCATAAGGAAATGAATGAACAGTTCCTGGGGGTTCACATGTACTACCTGCTCTGCACACAATACTGTGTGATATAGCTGTTGAGGACAAACACCCTCTTAACCTGCATTAATGGGCATGTGGGCAGTTGTTTTGCCCAGCCCAACTGCCTCTGCTATGCCGCAGTAAGACGAGCTGTTTCTGAAGAAACATTGTTGTAGACGCTGCACTGGGACATAGTGACGCCTGGTTCTGTGATCCAGAGAGAGTTGTCCACAGTGAGGAGTGTCCCATCACTAAGGCTTCTAACCAGGAGATTCACCATTGTGAGTGGGAATTGCTTCCTTGAATGTCCCCTGTGTCCCCACTACTAAATGTCACCAGATGACAGATGAGTGAGTGAAGGCTGGTGACTGTCCGTTAGAAGATGTGTCCTAGCCGGGCGTTGGTGGCGCACAACTTTAATCCCAGCATTCAGGATGCAGAGGCAGGAGGATCTCTGTGAGTTCGTGGCCAGCCTGGTCTACAGAGTGAGTTCCAGGACAGGCTCCAAAGCTACACAGAGAAGCCCTGTCTCGATAAAACAAAAGATGTGTTTTGTGGCACCCTGTGCCTGATAGATGGGACACCCCCAATGTCCATTCCTACCATGGTGTTGTGTGACTTTCAAGGACCAGAGATTTATGGGAAAGAAAAGGTGAACTGACAGTTTGGTGGAGAGAGTAAGTGGATTTGTAGGATCAATGACCTTCCCAGCCCAGTAATTATCATGTGTTTCCTGTCACTCAATTTCTCCTTAGACACTAGAGACAGTTTAATGACAGGGTGACCTTTGCCACTCCACTGATGGCTAAGATTACTCCAACAGGTCAGAGTGGCTCATTGGGTAACCCCAGGAGTCTCATTCCGTCAGAGAAGGCAGCAACACAGCCTTTGGTGATAACTCAAGGAGCCACACCTCCCCACCCATCCTGCCGAAGGCGCTTTCTACAGAATGGCAGCTTCAGCGTACAGACCCTCATGACACTGACAATGGGAAGCAGCATGAAAAGGCAGAGAGTAAGGGGAAGCAAGATAGGATGGAAGGCTCCACCAGTGCGAAGGGACCATGGTACAGCCTTGTGGCACTTCCTTGGTGACATCGTGCTACAAGAACCGATGCTGCTGTGTCACTTACTCTCCACTGACTCTGCTCTTTTGAATCCCAGAGCACCAGAACTACTTTGGAATAGATGAAAACCTTGGCCCTGTGGCAGTCAGCATCCGGAGGGAGAAGGTGGAGGATCCCAAGGAGAAGGAAGGGTCCCAGTTCAACTACAGGGTGGCCTTCAGGACAAGTGAGGTAAGAGGTGGCTATGGAAAGTTCATCCTCATTGCCACTTCAGTTAAGTTTTAAAAAACCTGATTTTAATGTCAGTCATCTAATGTTTAAGAACTCTTAAAGATGGTCATGTGATCTTTGGTTTTTGGTTTTTGTTTATATATATATATATATATATATATATATATATATATATATATATCTCCATCCTAAGTGAATACTTACAAGCCTGTCCTGGATCTTAAGTGGCCATAGTCTTACCATCACTTTACATAATAGCATGGTAAAGATGGAAGGTTCTGGGGCTGAAACCTGAGGACAGATGTGAGCTACACAGTCCTCACCAGAATTTGGAAATGAATTTAAAACCAAGTGCAGATGATGAGGCAGCCTGCAGTGGGGCTGGCCTCTGACAGGCACACATAACCAGTATGGCCACATGTCCATCCAGTCCACACCATGGCAAAGCAGCTTGTGTATCCAGCTGGCCTCACACTGAGTAAAAATCGAGATCACTGCACACATTGTGCAGCTAAGCAACACACCAACCACCCTAAGGAATCAGGTTCCCCTGTACTTCAGTCTAGGTTCTGTGGCCCGCATAATCAGAGTGGGGTCTATTTGGCAGACCTTCCAGAATGTGCCAGCTGACCACTTAAGTCAGACAGAAAAAAAAGAGGCTTTTCTAATTTCCTTTGCTTCTATATAAGTATGGTGACTCTGTATGTCTCGACTGACATAGGCAGTCGTCCTGGTGCCCTGGGCTCAATGCTGACTCTGTTCATATGGGCTAAGCCCTTTCCTTGAGTGACAGCTTTGGAGATAGACCTGTGCAGACTAAAGTTTAAGATAGTAATTAAATGTAAATAATTGATGAAACCAGCTGTGGTGATGTTTGTCACACTAGTCAATTGCCTTGAGGTCTGTGGACAGTGTGGCTAGTGCAAGTCAGGCTTTATGCGTGCCCAGAGAACACTGCACATATCTGATGTCCCTGTGATCACACTCAGTTCCCATGGCCAGGCAGTAGGATCACTTGTACCGCAGGGCAGTGACTTCTCTATCATGACAGCTTGGAATGGTGACCCAGGTGACTTATATTTACTTTTCTATCGTTGTGAAGACACCATGACCAAAGCAACATAAAAGAAATCATTTATTGGAACTCATGGTTACTAAGGGATTAGAGTCCATGGCCATCATGGTAGGGATCATGGCAGCAAGTGGGCAGGCAAGTATGGCACCATAACAATAGTTAAGAGCTCATATCCTTGATCTACAAGCAGGAGGCAGAGAGCTGACAGAATGGTATGGGCTTTTGAAATCTCAAAGCCTGCCCCAGTGATGTACCTGTTCTAACATGGCCACACCCCCTAATTCTTCCCAAACGGTTCCACCAGCCAAGGACCAAGCATTCAAATATATGCACCAGTAGGGACCATTGTCATTCAGAACACCACACTAGGCTTCCAAGGTATAAAGCAAAACATGAGACTGGGTGCAGTGGTCCCATCTCAGCCACCCACATGCAGCCCCAGGAGTGTTCAGCATGGATATTGAACAGAAGACAAGAACGGAGTAGAAGGGAATGAATAGAAATGGAGAAACAGGAGAAGGAGGATGTACTGTGGGCATATCCTGTGTTCCCTCCTCAGTAACCCTCCCATGGGGTTTCAGAGCTTTGGGGTTAATTGTTTGACTTTGCTCTGTCTTGTTCCTTCATTCTTAGGTTCTCTCTGTTTGCCCTTCCTCTGTGAAGTTGTTCTCGATAAAAGGAATGTTGACTTTATGTTTCAGATGAAGTGTCTTGCTTCCATTTGCTGAACTCTAAGGTCCCTTGTGAATAAGCAGTGACAAGTGCTAACTGAAGTCTCCTTTGTCCCAGCTCACGACTCTGAGAGGAGCTATCCTAGAAGATGCTGTCCCGTCCACAGCCCGGCATGGCACTGCCCGGGGCCTGCCCCTCAAGGAAGTCCTGGAGTATGTTATCCCAGAGCTCAGTATCCAGTGCCTGCGGCAGGCAGCCAGCTCTCCCAAGGTCCCGGAGCAGCTGCTCAAGCTGGATGAGCAAGGGGTGTGTATTGGGTGTGGCCAGAAAGCTCATACAAACTCAGACTATATGCTTGAAAAAGGGACACAAGCGCACGCTCACCTCCCTCAAGAGAAGGTCATACTCTGTTCTTGAACTCAATATCCTCCTGCCTCAGTCTCTCTGGGAGCCAGACATTAGCTCCTCCACCAAGTTCTCGTGTTCTTTCTTTTGAGACAATTTATTGTAAATGTCCCCAAGTAAAGTGCATGGCCCCAAAGACCAAGACCACTCCTGAAAAGTCCATGGAGGGTCCATTTTTCCCAAATCCATATAGTTCAGCTTTGTGGGAGCAGAGTGGCGAGACCACATGACAACTGGCCTGCTGTGTCTTCACAGAGTAAGGCAAGTGATTCATAAGGTCATAAGCCAGGCAGGTCCCGAAGCCATGCGCAGTTTTCTCAGACCTTGGGTGAACACCATCTTAGAATTGGACGCCAGTGAGCTGATTTTGGAGGCAATTGTTTCACTTGCTATCTTCCAGCTTTGTGATGTTGATGTGGCTATATTTTCTGATGATGTTTGGACTTGAGTGTCAGCTGACCTTTCAGTCTTGGAAATCAAGGACTACTGAGAAAAGAGGTTATTTGTTTTACCCCTAAAAGAGATGCAGTTTGCCATCACCCTGCCAGTGTTGTCCTCTTACTCCAGGCACCATTGTTTCTGATTATTTTCCTGAAAGCAAATCTGCCTGTGAGGGCACCAATACAACAACAACAAAAAAAGTTCATATACTTAAACCTTGCTATGGCTCCTCTTGCTTGGTTTCTGTAGCCCTTCTGGTTTCCTGTGATTGGCTCCTGGCTGTCTCACTTCCCTTTAGGACATAGTCAGGGGAGGAGATTCTGGCTTGTTCATTTTGTTTGTTGGATTTTGGTAAGAGAGAGAACACTGTGAAAAACTGAAAAGAAGTTGTAATGTGGAGCCTTGGGGGTTGTGACACATTGTCTCTATAAATTCACATTCCAGCTTCTATAATGCTGTTTTTTTCCTTTTTTAGAAGTGTGTATGTGTGGGTGGGTGTGTGTATGCACCACACATGCTCCTGTGAAAGACAGAGAAGAATGTCAGATACCCTGGAGCTGGAATTATAAGCAGTTATGAGCCACCCCACATAGGTGCTGGGAGTTCAGATTCTCTGAAAGAACAGCAAGTGCTTATAGACAATGGGCCGTCTCTCCAGCCCCCCTTTCCTTTTTGTTTTTTAAAGATTTATTTATTTCTGTGTGTGAATATATACACATTAGAAGAGGGCATGAGGGTCCCTAAAACTGGAGTTAGAGTTGACTCTGAGCCATCATGTGGGTACTAGGAATTAAAGTTGGATCCTCTGTAAGAGCAGCCAGTGCTCTTAACTACTGAGCTATCTCTGCTGCATACATTGCTGTTTTTCCTTCTTAAAGGGACTGTTCTGATTCATACATTAGGGAATCCATAGGTTGGCCTTTAAGAGTTACTTAGTTGGGTCATGATAGCCCCCAAGGGCACAACACATTATAGCGTCTTTGACAAAGTCTATTCTAAAGACCAGCTGCCCTTCCCTTCTTGGCCACATGGCCCAGACACACCAGGTGGACATCAGGTTTGCTCCCCCATAGGTGTCAGGTCCGACCACCAACCGAGCCTGGGAGCTGAGTTGCTGCACATGCAGCAATATTGTCAAGGAAATTCATGGGCTTTCTTTTTTGCTACCTTCATTTGTGTTTAAAACTTGTTGTTAATAATGGCACAGTATCTTAGTCACCGTTCTATTGCTATGAAGAGACACCATGACCAAGGCAACTCAAGAAAGCATTTAATTATGGGCTTTCTTACAGTTATTCCATTATCGTCATAGCGTAAGCATGAGCCATGCAAGCAGACATGATGCTTGAGAAATAGCTGAGAGTTTTACTTTTGAGACCTCAAAGCCCATCCCCAGTGACACACTTCCTCTATCTAAGTCACGGCTCCTAATCTTTCTAGTCCTTCTCAAGTAGTGCCATTCCCTGATGACTAAGCATTCAAATATATAAATCTGTGGGAGCTGTTCTTATTCAAACTACCACCTAAAGCTTCCGGTGTTGGGGACAGAATGGCCAGCCAGTGACCCTGCCCCAGGGGAAGAGATGGCTTAGTCCCCTGCAATCAGTGCATATATCCTGCTCACAGCCCTGAGCTACAGGAGACGTAGCCAAGTGTGTGTCACAGTTCTCATGTCCCAGCACTGGTGATGGGCTGCAGCGGCCATAGCTTAGGATCGGTCAGGTTGGGTTACAGCAGTGGGGAAGGGTTGAGGTCAGCCTGAGGTCAGCAGGTGAGAGACAGAAGGGTGGTCTGGGAAGATGAGAGTTTTACTTATGTATGGCAGTGAGCAACAGAGCCTACGGCTGGCTTCCAGTGGACTAGGAGGAGGAAAAGAGATGGTTTTAGGTTTCTAAAAGAGGCCAGGTGACAATAGGTCACTTCCTGAATCTCATTAGCTTGTTGCCAACTTATAGTGAGTGGTTCTGGGTCCCTAGAAGTTCTCCGATTTCCATCTTGCTGGCAACTCACTGGGGAACAGATGAGGGAGGGATGGTGGTGACAACCCATGCATGAGTACAGCCCTGTTCCTGGACATGTTCTGTGTGTCCCTATATCCATAGACTCTAGATTCTGACTCTGTCATTACATTTTCCAAAGGTCTTGCTTGGTACCTGTGATGTAGGTCTAGTGGTTAAAAACACCATTCCTATTCATTTTGGATCTAGACACAATTTGGTTTTTTGTCTGTTTGTTTTTGTTTGTTTTATTTTCATGTGTGAAAGACAGTGAAATCGGTAGCACAGTGCTGAGCAGGGAGTCTCCCAAGATTTCAATCTCCAGGCATCCATCTTTGCCAGAATAAATTCCCAAGGAATACTATCTATAATTCCACCAGGTGTGGGGAGTCAGGGAATGCATGCCAGTCCATGAAGGGCTCTGCTCTGCAGCTTGAAACCATACCTTTGAGGACACGGGTCTGGCAGTTGGTGGCCTTTCTGTTCTGTAGTTTAATGGTAATGGAGGGAGAAGTACAGAGTACGTGTTTGGAGCTTGTGATGTTAACTTAGACTCACGGAAGTCAACCACCTCTGTCCCTAAAGCTCTGAAGACCCTAAACTGTTTCCTAAGCAACTCAAGGCCAACTGCTTTTCATAAAGAAACAACAAAGAATTTTTAATTATATTTGGTGGTTTTCTTTTCTTTGGGGGAAAATTTTCCTTTTTAGACCCCAATAAAGAATAAGCCCTTAGCACCAGGTACTCTGTAGTTGCTGCATAACTTCTGGAAGCCCACTGTCAAGGCCAAACCCATTATCATCTTTGTGATGAGGGGCTTGTGGCCCACGCTCCCCACCAACCCTGGCATCTGTCAGCAGAGAAAGCTGATTCTGTCATGCTATGGGCACCCATCAAAGAGACAGAGAAACTTCCACAAGCTGCTTAGGTCACCCAGGAAGCACAGTTCGCTCTTACCATGGATAATGAGGTGGCCTAGGATGCTACTCTTGTGTTCTTGCTCCAAGAACTGCCTGTCATTCTGCCTTGTTTTGTTGCTGGAGTTAGCTGTGGGGTTCTATTAGAGGCCAAGTTTCCCATCTCAGTACTGAAGGCTAACACATTATGGGTCCTCATCTGCTGGGAATTGGTGACATCTGAAGGTCTGTCAGTCTCTCAGGCTCAGCTGCTGCTAGGAAGACCAAGGCCACTGCTGGCAGGACTGAGAAGTAGATCTTTTGGCAGGGGGAAGCAATTACTGAAGCTGAATCCAGTTTCTCTCTGGTCCTGGAGGAACCTGGTCATGGTATTTTGGTATTTTGACATGGTATTATTGACTGTGAGGTAGGATTGCTGCAGAAACTATTCGGGGCTGCTGTACATCTTTCTGGAGTAATGTGTCTATAGCCAATGTTTTCTTTTCAAAACAGGCAAATGTGAGAAATGACTATAATTGTACAACCAAACTTACTTTTGTAGAAACAAAACATTTTCTATGCGTGCACATGGATTGCAGTTCTCGCTGGAGTTCTCCTCTTACCAAACCTTAATTTGATTTGATTTCCCTCCTTTTAGCCAACATTTTCTCATGACGTTCAAATAAATTACAGAAGAAAAAGACAAGAGAGCTGGAGAGGGAAAATTTTTCTAAGTCCATGGCCTCTCTGTCTTCTGAACTTGGAAGATTATCCTAATTATGCTGAGAAGTATGTTAGATGAGGCATTTGCTCAGTTGCAGTTTTAGCTTCGTGTCTGAACAGGGCTGCCCACTCTTTCTCAAATCCCATGTGGCTCTGGCCATAGACACTATTTCTTAAAGCTTCTCACTCTTCTCTAGCTGTATCTTGGGGTTTCTGGACTTGGTTCCTATTTACAACGTCTTGCACAATGAGAGTTGCTTTTGGAACTTTTTCCAATATGCTTTCCTGGGAACCAGATCCCAGGCTTCCGCAGCTTTAACTTGGCTAGAAGCGAGCAGGTCTGGAGTCTCTGCCAGGTTCATCATGTTTCCTCTCATTTCAGCTGAGCTTTCAGCACAAAATTGGGATCCTGTACTGCAAAGCTGGGCAGAGCACGGAAGAGGAAATGTACAACAATGAGACAGCAGGGCCAGCCTTCGAGGAGTTCCTGGACCTCCTAGGCCAGAGAGTACGGCTGAAAGGCTTCAGCAAGTACCGTGCACAGCTGGACAATAAGAGTAAGCATGTGTGCAAGTGTGAGTTACAGTGCTTGTGCGGATGGGTATGCCTATAGCCTGGGAAGTTTGTGTTTGTATATGTATGAGTTCCTGTGTTTTTGTGAGTGTATTTTTACGTACTTGTGTATATGAGTAGGCCATGTATTTATATGCATGTTTGTGTGTATTTATATACATATAAAAACAACAGATGACTAGCTTTACAGTCAAAAGTTCAGACACCACCATTTGTTTAAAATATTTATGTATGGTGTATGTGTGTGTACATGTTTGTCTACGTTGTGGAGGGTGCATGCCTGTTTATATGGAGACTAGAGGTCAATGTCAGTCTCCTCCTATATTGTTTTCTGCCTTATGCCTTTTAATTTTTATTTCTCATGTACAACTCTTAATGCACAACACCATGATGGGCATGTGGAGGTAGATCATAGCGTAACTTTGAGCAGTCGGTTTCCTCTTCCATGTCATTGAGGCAGGTGTCTCGTCTCTGATGCTACATGAAGTACCCCAGACTATCTGAGCCCTGTGTGTTGTGGCAGCTCTGTTTCCACCTCCTATCTTGCCATATAAATGCTGGGATTATGGATGCATGAGCCCCATATCCTTCTGGCTTGTGTGGGCTGCAGGGATCAGTCTTGAATTTTCTGGCTTGGGTGGCAATAGGTAGCACCTGCTCACCCATCTCACTGGTCCATCCACTCTACTTTCTAAACAGGGCTTTTCACTGAAACTGGAGCTCCCTGATGAGGCTGCACTGACTGGCCATTCCATCTACCAGATGTGCACTCCTCACCTAGCCTTCTACGTGGGTGCTGCAGATCCTAGCTCACTTCCCTAGCCTCACTTGGCAAGCACTCTATTGACTGAACCATTCCCCCAGCCTCACTTTACCATTTCTTAATGTGTGTTTATGTAGGAAGGAGGTACAGAAAGAAACCATAATCTCCCCTCCTGAGCCCCTGAGTCTGTGAGAGCAGGAAAGCAGAGGCCTGGGGCCCAGCTCCAGGTGGAGAGCTGCTAACAGCTGAGCAGAGTGCCAGAGTTGATCCAGGTTTAAACACGGTGTGGCTTGTGCTGTTCAACCCAAATACCTTTGCAGAAATCACCATTCAAGTGGTAGAGCCCTGATTCTGTGCTTGCCTAACTAACTAGCTTTCTGATTGCTTTGTTTTCAGCGGATTCCACAGGGACTCACTCCCTCTATACTACATACAAAGACTTTGAACTCATGTTTCATGTGTCGACATTGCTTCCGTATATGCCGAACAACAGGCAGCAGGTAAGGCCTCCTGTGTGTATCATAGTATGTGCCCACTCCCATGTCAACCAGCACATCCGTCCAGACTCCCATACACACCATGCAGGTGGGTAAGAGTGAGACTGAGAATTTACATTTGAGCTGTAGGTTGTCCCTTTTAAGCTGATACTCTCTGGCTGTTAATGTAGGCTATCTGAGCTTTTATGGGAAAATTATTGTATTTTTTATTGATCAGGGAACTGAGAAGCTGGCTATATAGAGAACCCCATGTCTACCATATTAATTATGAGAACAGCTGTGTTGACCAGACAGGTTTATTTATAGGAAATATATTAACAACGGTGGGGCCTAAAGCTGTTCTTAGTTGCTGCTCCTCATCAGGGTTTTATTACATTGTTTTAACAACACAATGTATTGACCCTTTGTGTAGGGAGAGGATTCTACTGTGCTGGCAGTCACTCCCCCAGACTTAAGAAGTGTTGAAAGATTAAAAATGCCTAAAACATCACAAAGTAATTAACAGGATGTTTTGTGTTGCTATAAAATGAGTTGAGTTCTTATACTGAAATTGCTAGAATTGATAGCTAATACTGGCAGTGCTGTGGCTACTCCATGCACTTGGGAGTTTGAGGCACATAAGGTGGTCTTGTAGGGTAGCAGTGACACCCCCAGCCCCTTTGAAGGAAGAAGGCTGCTTGTCTGGTGATGATTCCTCTGGAAGGTCATAAGCTACTGGGATGTGATTTGTGGCATTTGTCTTGGAGTTAAGGCAGGACTGAGACACAGTTTTTTCTGAATGCTTACATTCTGGACACCACTCCTGCCTTCCTGTGCACAGAGACCACAGGGTGGCCTGAGAGTAACTTGTCTGAAGAATGAAACAAAATTAATGGCAGAGAATTATCTCTTTTACTTTTTTATTTTAATGTTCTTTATTTGTGTGTGTGTGTGTGTGTGTATGCGTATTTGCTGGGAAGTGGTGTTGCGGATGGTTGTGAGCCACTGTGTGGGCAGTGGAAACCAAAGCGGGGTCACCTGGGAGAGCAACCAGCTGAGCCACCTCTCTGGCCCTGAATTTTCTTGTTTCTTAAACAGTTGTGAAATCCATGAATTGAGTCAAAACTGATAATTTTTTTTCTCAAAGAAGACACCAGCTGCTTCTTTCCCGTCCCACTAGTTCTAAACCGCAAAGTTCCCTCAGCTAGGACTCTTAGCTCAGTCCTTGACCTTCCTGAGTGATCCACAGCTTTTCTAGTATTTATTGTTCCTCCTTCATCTTTGGAAGATCTAACCCGAGATTCCTGGGATTACTAGCCTTTACTGCCAGGCCCAACTGTGGGCCCCTAAGCAGTGTCATGTGCAGTGTGCCCAGGTTTTATTGTTACTACTATTTTATAATCCCATAGGTGTGGCTCATGGGTATTTTTAGATGACTAAATTTCATGTTGGTTTTGTCCCCATTCCTAAAGATCTATTGTGTAAAAGTAAGGCCTAGATGCCTAATCATTTTGGTGACTTTTTTCACCTGGCATTTGGTAGACTTTGCTGATTTCAAGCTGCTGACAGAATACTCTGGTTATAGAGAAGCTGTGGCACTCTCTGATTATGGGCATGGGTATTAAAATTTTGCCACAGGCTCTCCTGACTCTTCACAGTTTTCTCATCCTGCAAATAATGCCCACAAACTTAATAACAAGAGCAGAAAAATCTGAAGGGTCAATCCCTTGGTGACTGCCTTGGGACTCAGCCCAGCTGGAACCTCAACTCTGCCTACATACACCCTGGTCTTATTAGCACCAGAGTGTTTGTAACTTGTTAACTGGTCTAGGCTTGTCCTCAGAGGATCTGATATGGAGTGTTTGTTCCTGTAATAAATCAATCAGGGAGCTGCTTGTTGAGGTAGTAAAACCCCAGGAGCATTCAGCAGGCCTGAGCCCCTTCCCACAGGGGAAGCCTTACTGGCCTACGGACCATAGATGCCCCTGGACCCCACATCTCTACACAAGATAAGTTCACACTAGTCTCTCCTAAGGCTGTGTTTCCTGTGTGCCCTTTCCCTGAACAAACCACAGCTCAGCCAGCATGTGATGTCATCATCAAGAACTTCACACCTCACCTTGACAGAGACACCCTTTCCCCAGAGTAGGCTCATAAAAGAGGAGAAAGCAGGGTGTCTGGTACATAGCAGCCCTTTTTTTCTTAGCACATATGTGAAGTTCAAGTGGCCCTAACTGGAAGGGGCATCAAGCCCTGTGAATTACCTCAGGAGTGACCAAGCCCTTGGGGTTTTGGTGTTATGCTCATAGTGGACTTAGAAGGTTCAGTGCTTAGGCTGGGCTGGACTGTGTTAGACTGGCTACAGTCGCTGCTGTGAAGAGTTTTGCACCTCATGGCTCCTGGTTGCTATAGCTGATGAGCACTTGAGTCCTACAGCAGCCTGGCTTGTTTAGTGTCATCTGAGCAGATCACAATTATGCCCGTGTTCCTCTCTGACTGACATTTTCTGGCAGGATAAAGCACAGAGATGGCTCTGTGGTTTGCTTCTTCTTCGCTAGTGTAGGAATGACAGCAGCTTGAGTATTGCTGTGGAAGCTGAGGGCTGGGCTAGCCCTGTTTTCATCTCGGCCTTGTCAGAAAGGCACTGAAAATCTACACTCTGTCCTGTGTCTTCATCTTTACTTGTGGCTATCACCGCTTGGCTCATTTGTACATTTACTCTTGCTGTTGGTAAAGTGTGGTCATATGAGATGGTAAATCAGTTTGAAACATCAGTTAAGTTTGAGGACTTGCTGATGGGAACCAAGAACTACCAGCCACTGGCTTGTGTGCTCCTGTGGGGAGCAGAAAAGACTGTCTATGGAAATACAGCTGTGTTTAACTGTATGGAAGCTGTCTGCCTCTGTTTGTTTGTTGGTGCTTTGGGACAGGGTCTTGCCACATGCTCATAGATCAGTATCTGTGTACCACCGTGATTGCTCTGGACTCCCATGGTACAGAGCCCCTGCCCAACCTTTGGTTCTCTTAGTTCTGTCTTTGCCATCACTCTTAAGACATCCTGTCCTTTGGAAACTATAAATGAATGATGTGTAGGTCGGAAGGGCTGCTGTGTTCTATATACCATAGCTATGTCCACCACAGCACCAGGCCCATTTCTTTTTAATAGTTGTTTCATTCCTGACCTTCTTAAGTCTGGTCACAATATATGAAAATAAGTTTTCCAGGTATCAGGAAAGAGGGAAGAACTGATTTTGCCTAATGTAGTTTTACTCTCTCTCTCTCTCTCTCTCTCTCTCTCTCTCTCTCTCTCTCTCTCTCTTTCTCTCTCTGTGTGTGTGTGTGTGTTTTGTTTTGTTTACATGAATTTGAATAGATACATTTTACTTAGAGGAGTATCAAAGTCTGTTAAAACTACGAAATTGAAAAGGGAGGTTAAGTAGATCTGCTACTATGTATTAATTTATGTTTCAAAATTTCTTTCTCTGGCAGTACAGTAATTTCCCTGTGCTCAGAGATTTAACCACAGGATATAAATAGGACTCTTCCAAGCTGTGATCATGGATCTCACTGGCCTATGGAGGACTGTCTCTTAAGGAGGAGCATTTCATTTTCACTTCCTTGCCTCTTTATGTGTTAAGTTAAAAGCCAGGGAGCTAGCTCACTGTGGATCCTTTTTACTTCTGAGTTTAAAAGGTTTGAAAAGTTGAACTTGCTGTCCTGGGCAGTGAAACGTGTTCTGTAGATGCCAAATAAACTCAAGGGCAAGGTTGTATTCTTTGTTGTTGCCAGTGAAGGTTGGGGGGTTACTGCTGGAGATGGGCCCAGGCCCTGCAGTGATTGCAACAGCTCCTCAGTGGGTGACTGGCTGCATCTGAGGTGGGTGGGGCCCACTTCTATGCTGCTTGCTTGTACTTGTGGAGGGTCTTGGCATGTGGTCACAGGAAGGTGAATGTGGGTTTATGCAAAGTATAAGGAACGTGGGGTGGGTGCCTACTTACTTGGTAATGGGCATGCCTTTGGAAGGCATTGGGAAGTCAGGAAGCCAGTCAGTATTCCTCCCATCTTTGGAAAGACCACGACCTATTTAGGAATGTGAACCAGTCAGTGAAAGAGAGTGGCACCTGGGTGACCTAGGTATGAGGGTGGAGTGGAGATGCAGCTTTGACAGGCTTCTCACTAATGTGTGTTTATCATAACACACAGCTTCCAATGTTTCAGTCCATGGTCACTTGGCTCTGTGTCTCTGGTCTGTGTAGTTAGGTAGGAGGGCATGTCAGAGGAAAGCTATGCACCTCATAGCATCTGGGAGGCTGGAGGAAGGATTCAAGATACAGCCCTCTAGGGCAGCCCCACAGTGTCCTGCTTCCTCCAACCAGGTCCAGTTTCCTCATTTTCACCCCTTCCAAGTAGCATTCTCTGTTATAAGTCCTTCCATAAATTTATCCACTGGAGGTTAGAGCCCCCTGTGAGCACTGCCACATGAGGACTGAGATTTCCTGCATGAGGTTTTGGGAGACATTTCAGATCCCAGCCTCAGGAGCAGAGAGATCTGTCCAGGTAAGGTGTGCCAAGGCCTCAACACGGTAACTGTCTGGAAGAGCTCGGAGTGAGAAACATTCTTGCCAGAAGTGATGTCAGAAGCAGCTCTGGCTTCCTCCTCTCCCCTGGACATTTCAGTTTTTTAAGGTTACAAAAGATTGGGTTTCCTAGCCACTAGTGTAGTAGAATTCTGGACTCATTAATTAATATGGATTGTATCAAAAAGCCAAGTTTCAGATAATTAGTTTGAAGACCTATGCTACCCAAAGAGACAACCTCCTGGTTTTCTTGCAGAAATGGAAGCCAGCATGGGAGCCTGAGGTACAAGCCAGGGCTGTGTGTGCAGTAGGTCACCCCTCTTCTAAGTTGAAGTACTTAAACCATAACATATCTTACAAATATACTGAGAACTAGTGTGCTATTTTAGAATGAAAGAAATAGCTGGATAAAAATAAAGGGAGATTAAAATAGAAACAGATTTCTAAGTAAAAAGAATAGCTGGGGACGTAGCCAAGGGTAGCCCACTTTTCCCTCCCAGGTGTCATGCTCTCTCTGATGACCTTGAGTATTTTAGATATTTAGGGTCTTCTGCTTGTGGCACCCAGCTAACAATATGCCCAAGGCCATTGGAACCCAGGAAGGGGCTCTGTCCCTGCTCCTTCCTCAGTGGAGAGTGAACAGGTTGTATTATTAGTGTATTTTGTGTTACTCTGGGTGTTCCCTTCCCTACACAGCTTCTGAGGAAGAGGCACATTGGGAACGACATTGTCACCATCGTCTTCCAGGAGCCTGGTGCCCTCCCATTCACCCCCAAGAACATCCGCTCACACTTCCAGCATGTCTTCGTCATAGTGAAGGTGCACAACCCCTGCACAGAAAACGTGTGCTACAGGTGAGTCTGTGGCCCTACCTCCCATCTGGTGTTCTGTTCTTCTTCTGGACCCATAACTACCTAACCTCCTCCCTCTGGTAGTCCCTCCTCCCCCCCTTTCCATTGTGTAGCCCAGGCTGGCCAAGAGCTCAACCTGCCTGATAATATTTTTTATTTATTTTTGGTAGTGCTGGGGATTGAAACAGGCTTTGTGTATGCTAGGCATGTATCTACCACGGAGCTTCATTTGCTAGTCATCCTCATTCTAATTATATTTTTGCAACTAGTAATCACCTCCCTCCCATGAGAAAGGAAGGGCTGGATGTACAGAGTAGTGGGGTTCCATTTTCTGCTTTCCTGAGAGACTGAACCAGGGCCCATGGCTGACACCAGCCTCCTGTTCAGGAAGTGAATGGCAGGGAAAATCCAAGAGACTCCCAGGCAGGGCCACTGAGACCCAGCACCTACACTTGCTTTGATGCCTTTAAGGCCTGTGTATGCTGCAGAACCCCAAGACCATCTTCACTAGGCTTGCTTTGAGTCCTGGATCCTATCTGGGGCTTTGTCTTAGAGGTGTGTGTGTGTGTGTGTGTGTGTGTGTGTGTGTGTGTGTGTTGATAGGAGCGTCCCTGCCTTAGTGCTTGTATTGGGTATATGTGTGTTTCTTTATTTTTCTTTTTTGTTTTTTTGTTTTGTTTTTTCAAAACAGGGTTTTTGTGTAGGTAGCCCTGGCTGTCCTGGAATTCCCTCTGTAGACCAGGCTAGCCGTGAACTCAGAGATCCACCTGCCTCTGCCTCCCGAGTGCTGGGATCAAAGGCATTCACCAACCACACCCTATTTATTTATTTATTACTTATTTATTTATTTTTCTTAACTTTTCCATTTTCATTGTATTCTGGGGAGGGTCCACATGTACGTGTGTGTGTCTGTCTGTGCATGCATATAGAGGTTAATGTCAGGAGTCCTCCTCAGTGGCCCTTCTCCCTTTTTCACTGAGACAGGATCTCTCAGTTAAGCCCAGAGCTCACTGATATGATTTCTGGGGATCTGAACTCTGGCCCACAGGTTTATGCAGCAAGTACTTTAACCACTGAGTTTCTTTACTTTCCTTATCCTTCGGTTTCTTATCTTAACATTGAAGGCTCACACACCTACTGGGGAAATGGTTATGCAGCATGAATAACTTAAATTGAGCAAAAAGATGCCACTAGTCCTTGTGGACAGCAAAGCCCTGGGAAGGTAGAGCTCCTGCTCCACAGGCAGGACACCAGTGTGAGCACTGTAGCCCTACCTCATGTGTAACCCATTTGAAAATACTCTGGAAACCGCTAGTTCTTAGCTGGCTTTGCCTCCTAGTCAACTTGCAAGTCATGAGGAATCCCTGGCTCACTGTGAAGGATCTACTTCATGAGACCTGGAGTAAAACACAAGGTCACTTTCCCCAGGTAATGACTGTGGATGCACCTCTGGCCTGGCTAGGCCACTGCCCTACATTAAGAAAGGGTAGTAGAGAGAATATGTAATGTGTACTCTATATAAACACTGTGCTTAGAGTGGGTGGTATTTGTGCAAACATGGTAAGTCACATCTTCAGGAGTTTCTGAAACCCTCCTCAGGAATAGGCCAAGACTATAGCTTTATTGGTTTTGATACTGATTTTTTGATGCTATTTTTAGTCAAAGCAAACATTTTGGTTACTTTTCTTGTTACTGTGACATCATAGCTGACAAGCACCTTGAGGTTTAAGGACTTATTTTGGCTCACAGTTTCCATCTGTCTTAGTCAGGGAGGTATGGCAGGGTGTCCTCATACCTTGGTGTCCCACAAGCAGAGTGCTCTGGCTGAAGGCAAAGATGTCATCTTTAAGGCCTGCCCCCAATGGTGGATATCTACCAACTAATGTCCATGTCCGCAAGTTCCTCACCTCTTTGAGCAGTCCCAATAGCTGGGGACCAAGTATTTAAACATATGAGCCTACAAGGACATTTCCCATTCAAACCACAGCAGGTATTTGTAAGTACTTCTGGCCTTTATTCTTGCATCATGGCCTGTCTTCTGTTCTACGGTGATTTGTTAGTACAAAATACTTTGGAGGCAGGTATAAATTTTTTTCTTTTCTTTTCTTTCTTTTTTTTTTTTTTTTTTTTTTTTTTGGTATTAATTAAATGACTGTAGGAGGAATGTTTTTCTAAACCAGCATATATCTTTTATAGAGCATAGCACTTCTCATTGTTTTTCTGTATAGACAATGGAATATTTCAGTTCTTTTGAAATTTATTGACTTTTAAGAAATCAGAATGTAGCCACTGATTTAATATTTACTGGTTTGATTCTAATGAAAACCGGGAGAGTGCCTCAAATATTTGGCAGTGTCGCATCAGGTCCATCGATTCCCCTTAAAATTAGAATAAGTGTCTGCAAAATAGATGGGCTAACTAGCAAGTGTGGGAGCCTGTCACCTTAAAGAAGGGAAGTGAGAGCCATGACTCATTTCATTTTTCTTTCTTTCTCAGCGTTGGCGTTTCCAGGTCAAAGGATGTCCCTCCCTTCGGTCCCCCAATCCCCAAAGGTGTAACTTTTCCAAAGTCAGCCGTGTTCCGGGACTTCCTTTTAGCCAAAGTAATCAATGCAGAAAATGCAGCTCATAAGTCAGAAAAATTCCGAGCCATGGCTACTCGAACAAGACAAGAATACTTGAAGGATTTGGCTGAGAACTTTGTCACAACCGCCACAGTGGACACTTCTGCAAAATTCAGCTTCATCACCCTGGGTGCAAAGAAGAAGGAGCGAGTAAAACCAAGGAAGGATGCACACTTGTTCAGCATCGGAGCCATCATGTGGCATGTGGTGGCAAGGGACTTTGGCCAGTCAGCAGACATTGAGTGTCTGCTTGGGATCTCTAATGAGTTCATCATGTTGATAGAGAAGGACTCCAAGAATGTCGTGTTTAACTGTTCCTGCAGGGATGTGATTGGCTGGACTTCTGGGTTAGTGAGCATCAAAGTCTTCTATGAAAGGGGAGAGTGTATCCTGCTGTCTTCAGTGGATAACTGTTCCGAAGACATCCGAGAGATAGTGCAACGGCTCGTAGTAAGTATGGCTGTGTCCCCCACTGTCTGTGTTCAACCTCACAGTCCCAGCAGGTTGTAAGGAGAACTCCCCCTGTGATTCCAGGGCTTGGACAGTCAAGAGTGCTGGGTTCTTTTATTTGTTTGTTTGTTTGTTTGTTTGTTTTATTTATTTTTGAGACAACATCTCTTGTTCAGGCCAGTTTTGAACTCACCATGTAGCCAAGGGTGACCTTGAACTTGTAATCTACCTGTCTCCTTCACCTCATGAGTGCTGTGATTACAGCTGTGATCTGCCATATCTAGTTTTATATGGTGCTAGAGATCACACCCAGGGTCTCATGCTTGGTAGCCCTTCTCTCTCCAACTGAGCCGCATTCCAGCCCTACTGGTTGTGTTTTTAATGAGAGTCAATGACCACAGTGGTGAAAAAACACCCACAGCCACATGATGAGAAAAGCTGAGCCAACTTCAAGTGAACCATTTCTGTAGTAGTTGAAGAAAAGCCGGGACAATTATTTAAATATTTTCTAAGTTGTGTGATGGACACAACACACCTTAAAAAAACACAGAATTGCTGTTTGCAAGCAACTGGGTTCTCTCTCCTTATCCCTTTGTACATACTTATATAACAAATGTTTTAATTTAAATGTTAGGTTAAACATGTTAATCTCTTGTACTTCACAAAAGTGGGCATTAAATTAGAAAAACCTACAAAAGAAAATGACCAAAGTCATCATCAAAAGAGACTTCTAAAAAAGATGGGATTCTTTTAAGATCCTGGGATTGGGCGGGGCAGACAGGTCAGCTAGTAAAGCGCTGGCCATATAAACATGAGGACCTGAAGTGCATCCTGAGCACATGTGGAAATAGGTGTGGTGCCATGCACTAGTAATCCCAACACTGAAGAAGCAGAGACAGGGGAATGAATGCCTAGGGGCTGCTGGCCAGCCAGCTTGCCTAATCCAGGTTATAATAATACTGATATAATAAAAAGGCTTGATTGCAAAACTCAAGGTGAACATCTCCTGAGAAATGACACCTAAGATTGACTTCTGGCCTCTATACACATACATGTACACATGCACACACACATATCAAGACCTAGTCAGGCAATGGTAGTGCACGCCTTTAGTCCCAGCACTCAGAAGACAGAGGCAGGTGGATTTCTGTGAGTTTGAGACCAGCCTGGTCTACAAAGCAAGTTCTAGGGCAACCAGAGCTGTTACTCAAGAGAAACCCTGTCTCTAAAAAAAAAAAAAAAAAAAAAAAAAAAGCTGGGATCTTGCCATGTAACCCAGTAACCCAGGCTGTCTCAAGTTTACAGTATATCCCAGACCAGCTTCAAACTTGAAATCCTCTTGCCTCAGCCTCCCAAGAGCTAGGATTGCAATTGTGTGCCACCATGGCTTAATATGATTTTTAAAACTCCAACCCCCTGCATTGTGCCAAAGATGTAAAACAGTCACATTTTTGTTTTAACAAAGCAAAATTCAGATTTTCTTTGGGTGTGTGCAGTAGAGCAATAGCAGTAAATTTACTGTTTGGGTTGCTTGGTGTAATACAAGAACAAAGCATGTCTTGGCCATAAAACATCTCTTTATTAACTCCTTTCCCAAGGAGGATGTATCACATAGTCAACTGAGACTCATTAAAAAGGGATATGGATAGCACTTCCTGTCCTTTCTTCCCACAGAGGGTGAGTCTCTCTTTTATTATGAGAAGGCTGGTGTGAGAGATAGTAAAATCAATTAGCATCGGTTAGTGTTGGAGTGGCTACAGTCATTGCAGACATTGTCACATGAGATCGTTGTGCTGAAGGTGGTAAGGACACCACTTATTTGTAGATGGTGAGCCTACTGTCTGTTGCCTTTGGTACAGAGTACAGCCAGAACTGTACATTGGGCATAAATGAGGGGAAGAGAGTTCACTCCCAGAGGGACCTTGGGTGTGCTGCCTGGGTCTTGGAAAGGCATCCTCAGAAGAGCCTTGTCACATATTCAACTTCTGAATAGATTTTGAGTAAAGACCCGACATTTGTGTTGTCGGGTGTGCCTCACAAATTATGTAGCTGATCCCAGGTACATGGATGGGAGACTGCCCTTTTCCCACAGTTATTGAGTCTGCATAAGTAAGTATATAGGGCACTCCAGAAACAGGAGACTCTTGGTCTGACTTCAGGGATGTCTGAAAGCAAGAAACAATGATAATGAAGGGGAGTAAGTCAGAAGCGAAGCCTGGCCACTGTACTTCATCCTGGTACCTCACAGTGAGCTTCAGGTAGTGTTTGCTTTCACATCTTCCAGCACACAGGCTCCTTAGATGCCCTCTGTGTTAGGGCTGCTTGAAACAAAGCTGAAAAAGAGGTGAAGAAAATATCTGTCAAGGTTGGACACTATGGAATTGCTCTGTTAACAGTTTGAAATTAGTTCAGATCATTGAAAACGTGAACCTTTTGAAATTTCACTCCTAACTGACACAAGTGTTCCCTTTCTGCTGAGTCCCCAGCATCATGCTGGCCTGGAAGAAGCCAATTGGCAGTGTGTGCATTTTTTGTAACCATGGAAACCTAGACCAGATGCTGATGCAGGGAGCAAGCCACAGCTCCCCAGCTGTACTCACAGCCACGGGGCTCGTTAATAGGAATGTGTGCATTCAGAGCCAGGTTCCTGGAAACGGAGAATTTACTGAACTGAAACTCCATACACTGCCCCAGGGTTTTGGGGATGGGGGATGATACCTCCCAACTTGAAATTTCCCACAAAAAAATGATGTCATCATCTTCAAATGATGTTTAATGAGCCATGTTTTCCTTTCATGGCGTTGCAAGCCACATTCCATCAGTGCCTCAGAGGGTTACCGGGACTAATTACCTTACTTGCAGCACCAAGCTGCTGAACTGGCTCCTTCATGTGCTTCTTGGGGTGCCATGTAGACTCATAGTCTGCCAGAGGGGGGTCACTGGAACTGCCTGGGGTGACCCTTTGTCTCCAGGGCATAGAAGAGAGAAGGAAAGGTGGTTGAGGAACAGAGGACCCCTCTGCCACCTGTCAGCCCCACATTGATCAAAAGGGCCCTTGGTAACAGATAGAGATGGGTAGTCACACTCAGAAGGCCTGGCGGGACAAACTAGGAAGTCTGCAGGCCAGTTCATGGAAGACAGTTAAGGGTTTTCTCACAGTCAAGTCTCCCTGGGCCCTTCCTAAGCACAGGTGCAGTCACTGAGTGTGAGATCAGAAGTACTTTGAGCCATGTTTTGTTGTTTTCTTTTGAGTTAGATAAAAGAATCCAGTAGGCCTTAGAATTTGATGGTTGAGACAGAACAAGATCATCTCGTTCTGTTTCTTCTATCTAGAAGAGTAGAATCCAGTGCTTCAGAGCCCTGTTGTTGTCAGGGAGTGGAGGGAAATGCACAGCACATGCAAAGCTCACAGACTGCAGGTCTGTGACTTCTCAAGATTCAGACTGTGCACCATGCAACCGGTGGTCTGAACACTGAAACTAGGGCTTGCTCTCTGTCAAAGGCAATCATGGTGAACGCTAGATTCAGGAACAGGGGGGTGGCTGGGTTAGAGCTGTGTGGGTCCCAATAGGGTCCCATGAAAGCCAGAGAGAAAGATCAAACCTATGTAACAGCTTCTTTCCCCCTTAGATAGTGACAAGAGGCTGTGAAACTGTGGAAATGACCCTGAGGAGGAATGGGCTGGGCCAGCTTGGCTTCCATGTGAACTTTGAAGGAATTGTTGCCGATGTAGAACCTTTTGGTTTTGCCTGGAAGGCAGGCCTTCGCCAAGGGAGCCGCCTCGTAGAGATCTGCAAGGTGGCTGTGGCCACCCTGACCCATGAGCAGATGATTGACCTACTGCGGACATCCGTGACTGTGAAAGTGGTTATCATCCATCCCCATGAGGATGGCTCTCCCCGCAGGTAAGACCAGCTAGGTAGTGTGCTTTGATACATTCCTGAGTGAGTGCCTGCAGGATCCTCAGAGAGCCAGTCAGATGTCTCTGTGGATCACAAGAGCTTTCGATGGGCAGGTGCTGTGCAATCACTGACAGCTTGTGACTCTAAGAGTGTCATGGTATACTGACCCAGTGACAATGAGTTACTACGGACCAGGGGATTGGTCCATTTGATTCACCTGGCCTATGGAGACTTGAGTGTATGCAGCACAGCCTCCACAGCCTGCATACCTCAAGTTGGGATGATTAGTTAACTAGATGGATAGCAACAGGACTGCCTGTCTGAAGGAATGTAGGATGGCGGGTAGATTCCTGCGGCCATGCTGTGCTCAAGCTAAAGCCTCAGTGGTATCAAGTGGGTCCCAGGTGTCCTTGTTACCTGTCCTGAAAAACAGGAAGTGGGTAGCTACCCTGGAAGGTAGAGGTCTGTAAGTGGCGGGAAGGGACAGGAGTGAAAGTGGGAAGTGGTCTGCTACTGACAGATGACCAGCCTCAAGGGACACCACCAGGTGTGTCTAACCTGTGGCCCGGGAGCTACATGCACCTTCTGAAAGGACTGCTGCGAATTGTAAGTGTATTTCAAACGCTGGCATTTTATTTCTGTGTGGTTCCTTTGGGGTACATGTGTGGATGACAAAGTCATGTTTCAATGTCAGAGGTTTGATACCAATCAGACCATAGGGCAGAGGACACTCACTAGTTAAGACCGTGCTCCCTGCAGACTGCAGCCCATGTTGAGGGTGTGGTGGGCTCTGGTGGCCATATCTCCCATGCAGTTTGTGTCTCCATTCAGGGAGAGTTGTAAGGCAGATTCTGAAGCTTACTTTTTGGGAGGTTGGAGGAGGTCAAGGTTCTAGGGCTCTGCTGTGTGATCATGGGGGACATAGACATTCTAAAGGTCTTTCCACATTTGCAACATAGGGACTCTGTGATACCTAGCCTGTATGGTTTTTATAAAGGTTGGACAACATGATCTCTTAAAGCATTCAGAACTTTCTAGCATAGTTAGTGTTCCTTCTATATTTTAGTTGGGGGTGGGAGAGACAGCTTTAAATTCATTCCAGTTTCTGTCATATTTAAAAAGGGACTTTCTTATGCAGACAGTAGGTGACTGTGTATATCTTCTGGACTCATGACACAAGGGTACCCTTTCTCCTTCTTCCCAGTGGCACACGCCTAGTTGCATCTGTGCCATGTCCGGGCCACATGCAGCTGTCACATACTTGAAATGTGGCTGAATTTTTCACTTTAATTAGTTCAGTTTAATGAACCACAGTTGGCTCTAATGGCTGCCCTTTTGGGGAGCTCGGCCCTAAATGGGGATCTTTTAGAAAACAAACTGCTCTTGTATCATCTTGGTCCCTGTGGTTAATATGCCAGAGTTTGTAATGTCTGTTTCATTATGTTTAGCATTTGCTCCCAGCCCAGTGTGTTTGTTTTTGTGATTCTGGGGATGGAGCCAGGCATCTTACATCTGCCTGTGAACCCCACCCCTGAGCATCAGCCCTAGCCCCCTAGCTTTGCAGTGGCCGTGTTCCTGTGTTTGTCCAATATGTTTATAAAATAAATGGTTAAAGACCTGAAAAGAACTGAGATTCCTTCCTCTTAGTGTTAAAGACCTAACCCTGTAAAGCCCATAAGAGGGTCTCATAGCCTCGCCTTGCCTGATAATGCTCATTAGACACAGGGTGCTGTGTCATGTACCCTGCCCCCAGCCAAGGGTCCCAGGAACCATACTTAAGTGTGTATATGAAGAAAGATAAACTGCTTTACAAGAACCAGACTCAGATTGTCTCGGAGTATATCTTCCTTTCGGCCTTCCTAGAAGCTCATGTATCCTGTAAGTGAACATCTTTCACGGTTAACACTTAAGCCCGCCTGTAGTGGGAATACGTAAGTGTGAGTCCTCCAGTGGTGAGGTCAGGCCTACAGTCTCTCTTGGAGACTGACGACTGCAGAACTGAGTGAGAAGGTTTCCAGACCTCACCTAGGTTTGGTCTGCTGTTACTCTGCAAGAAACTCCCGAAGCTTTCAAGAATGTTAGATAATAAAAATAGTAACATTTTCATTATGCCTGGTATTTCAATCATACAATTTCAAAGAATAGAATTTCCTAAGGAATATTGAATTGTTTTCCAGCCAAAACAAATAAACCAGACTACAGTGTGAATGTTTTGCTGCTATCTTTTCCTCAAGAGCATGTTTTTCCTCTAAAGAGACTTTCTTATCTGCCTGGATCTGCCTATAATTAATTCTTTGTTTTAAATGCAATTGAAAATAGCCAGGATATTTATTCAGAGCCTTTGCCTTTGTTAATGTCCTTCCCCAAGCACAGAGTCTCTTTCTTCTTTATAGTGCACAATCACCTTCTACTGTTGTCACCTTTGGGAGAAGGTTCTGGAGTTTTAAGTCTCAGCACACGTCAAGCAGGATTCTCTGTTGTTTCCTCATTCTTTGTGAATCTGAATTTGAGTCTTTTTAAAGTCAGTATTTTCATTTCTTCTGATTCATTTTCACTTCTGATATGTATGGGCCATGATAACAGTATTTGCTATATTCAGATATCTTCTGTGGCCTGCAGTTCCATCACAATAGCTCTTAGCAGAAGTGCAGTTCTTTCTATCACAACCATGTCCTTTTCTAGCACAATCAGACCCTGTACAGTTGGCACTGTTAGAAAAAGAACATATGTGTTGCACATATCTACCTGTGTGCATGTGCTACTAAAGATCAAATCCGGGGCCTCAAGAATGCTAGACAAGCACAAGCCACATGTCCAACCCCATAGTTTTGAGACCAGCTGCCCTTGAACTGGCAGTAATCTACCTCTACATCCCAAAGATTCTGTCACTCCAGTCTGCATTATTAGACATTTTAAGAAACCACAGAAAAAGCCAGGTGGCTCACACCTTTAATCCCAGCACTCAGAAGGCAGAAGCAGGTGAATCTCTTGAGTTTAAGGCCAGCCAGAACTGATTCACAGAAATAAACCCTGTCTTGAATAAAACAAAACAAAACAAACAAAGAAAGAAAGCATGGAAGAGATGCTAAAAAGAGAATGGATAGACGTTGACTCATTGTCATTGTTGTATTGAGTTTAATTTGGTTAGACTTTCTTTGGTGGGGACAGAGTCCCCCAATAAATACACAGTAGCCTAGGCTGGCCTTAAACTCTCCATCTTCTTAAGTGCTTGAATTATAGTCATGCATTGATGCACTTTAAAATCTGAAACACTTGGGCATGAAGAGATAAAAGGCTGGGCTAGGTAGTGAGATCACCTGCTTCCCCTCAAAAGACTTGAATTTAGTTTCCAGCACCCACATTTGGCTGCTAACAACTGCACTGCCTCGGAGTCTTGAGTGCAGTGCCCTCTTCTGGCCACCTCTGGTGTCTGAATGTGCGTGTGTGCTTACACATGCATTCACATGCACATCAATAAATAATAACATAATCTTTTAAATAAAACTGAAAACTCACTTTAAGGGCGGCTTACTTTGATTCCATAGCCTGTAGTTAACTATACAAGGATTTGCCTGAGGCTCTGACAGCACATTTGATTTGTGGGGTAGAAAATTACCTCCAGTTTCTTTCAGAAATTGGCTCTTCGAGTCTGTCAGGGACAAAAAAAAATTGAAATGAACAGTTATGTGCATACACACACATCTATGTGTTTTTTTTTTCCTGAGAAGTTGCCCTTAGTGCAAGTTCCGTGAGGATGACAGAAATGGCCAAACGAATTAATTATAAGGAATTTTAACATTCATCAACACTGTGGAAAATGTTCCCATTTGTTTCGGAACCTCAGCTCAATAATAGTCTTACAGGGTATCAGTGACAAAATCGTTTGATCCCAGAGCCCATCTGTTTCTGCCCACAGCCTGAGAGGCCTATAGGTTAATTGACACTTCTTGTTATTCTTGGGTCAGAGGTGCCTGGTTGTGGCTCTTCACTGCTGAGTTAGCTGAAGCCTTCTGTAGGGAAGGTATTTGTGTTGCATCAAAAGCCATGAGGGTTTTGAAGTCCCTTTCTGACCCAATCTTGAGGACAGTCCAGCAGTCTCACTCCCGAGTTGGAAGGAAAGCAAAGCCATTTGTGATTTCTTGATGGGGCTTGGGGGTGGGGCTTGTTAAAGGATCTCCTGTTGGGGCTGGGACCCTTGAGTAAATTCATGCACTTTGGGAATGAGTGGCCTGGGGCAACATGGGAACAACTCTCTCCAAATGGAAATGAGCTGAGGAATGGGCAGCCCAGGCTACCATTGCCCTGGCTGCCTAATTAAGGTCTTTCTGGCTGGAGGAATTGCTCAGTGGCTTTACCTTTATGGCTTGCCAGGAAGCCTGAGGACCTGAGTTTGGATCCCTAGAACCCACAAGAAGCCAGCCCTGGTTAGCTTATAAGCTGAGCATTCCAATGGCAAAATGGGAGGTAGAGGCAGGAAGCTCATGGGCCATCTAGCCTAGTATATGCAGCAGTGAGCAGGAGACCCCATCTCAAGGTGGAAGGTGAGAACAGACACCCAAGGTTATCCTGTGACCTAATATAAGAACGATGGCACACATGCACCCACCCACATTTACACACACAAAGGTTTTTTTTTTTTTTTTTTAAGATCTTTTCTTTATTTCTCAAGGGGGTGGGGAGGCCCCAGACCTAACTCTGTCAATGACATTTTAGGGGAAAGGCATCCTTCAAAGGCTGCTATCTAAGAGAAGTAATGACTCACCAGAATCATGCATGACTTGTCACACATTGCTAGCAAATTTAGTAAATATGTCCAATAAAAATGGAAATGAAATGCCTTCAGTGATTCTCTGTGTTTTGTTGACACAGGTCCACATTTCCATTTGATACAGGGCAGCAGAGATTTCCATGGGCTTTCTGAGTCAAAATGATTGCTCTCATAGTGCTCTGTAAAGCAAAGCATCCTACATCATGCTTTTGTCTATTGCCTGACTGCCCAACTC